GACACTGATGATACAAGTCCCTAAAATGAACAAAAGCAGGGAGCTTGGGATATGATCTGAAACAAACACCACAGTAAAAGCACTTGCAGTGTCAGTTGTCAGCTCTCCTGTTGACAAGGCAGTATGTCATCTCTTGGGAGAGAGGAAGCAAAACAGAATTACAAGTTTATAAAACAGTACAGGCTTCTTATGAGGCATGCTCTAACAGATATTATAGGTACCAAGAATGAAATCAGAAATACAACAGGACTGTAAACTCATCCTCAGGGTGAAGGAAGGATCCTGCCAGACACACTTAAATTTAGTACTTCAGAGTCCAGTCTTAAAATGAAGGAGAGGGAGGGGGGAGGGAACCAAAACAGGGAAGAGAAAGTGGAGACTGCTAAGCCTATATTCATTAAAAATTTTAGCACTGCTAAAACAAATAAATAATTTGGCTGTTAACAGCCAAAAAACAAATAAACAAACAAAAAAACGTTCTGGGGAGGAAAATGTAAGAAAGAAGATGGATTCCATTTTGAACAAAGTGAGAAAAAACATGCAGATTCAAGAGATGCTTTCTTCCTTGTTTTGAAGAATCAGGTCAAGTAGAAGAACAAAAACATTCCTCCAGGCAGCAGTTAAGCAGTGGTCACTAGAAAAAGCAACGAAGCTGATGAAGGGTCTAGAGAACAAGTGTTATAAGGAGCAGCTGAGGGAGCTGGGTTTGTTTATCCTGGAGAAACGGAGTCTGAGGGGAAACCTTATCGCTCTCTAAAACTACCTGAAAGGAGGGTGTAGCGAGGTGGGTCTTGGATTCTTCTCCCAAGTAGGAAGCAATAGGACAAGAGGAAATGGTCTCACGTTGCACCAAGGGAGGTTTAGATTGGATATTAGGAAAAATTTATTCACCAAAAGGGTTATCAAGCATTGGAACAGGCTGCCCATGGAAGTGGTCGAGTCATCATCCCTGGAGGTATTGAAAATACGTGTAGATGTGGTGCTTGGGGATGTGGTTTAGTGGTGAACTTGCCAGTGTGAAGTTTACAGTTGGACTCGATGATCTTAAAGGTCTTTTCCAAATTAAACTATTCTATGATTTCTTAGAGGGCAGGGAGCGCAGACCAAGCCCAAGACTTTCAGTAACCTGAAATCATCAGCTGGGATTAACTCATGTCATTCAGAAAAAGCACATGGATGCTGACAATTGGCCTGTGAAACATTTTAGGATTATGGAGTATTTCTTCAATTAAATGTTGTAGTTTTGTAAAGATGAAGATAAAAACCTCATGTCCTGATCAAGAGCAAAAGAATTTTTTTTAATTTCCTTCTTTAGTAGCCCTGAGGAGAAGGACTTGGGGGTGCTGGTGGATGAGAAGCTCAACATGAGCCAGCAACGTGCGCTTGCAGCCCAAAATGCCAACCATATTCTGGGCTGCACCAAAAGAAGCGTGTCCAGCAGGTCGAGGGAGGTGATTCTGTCCCTCTACTCTGCTCTTGTGAGGGCCCACCTGGAGTACTGCGTCCAGTTCTGGAGTGCCCAACATAAGAGAGACATGGACCTACTGGAGTGAGTCCAGAGGAGGCCACAGGGATGATCTGAGGGCTGGAGCACCTCTCCTATGAGGACAGGTTGAGAGAGCTGGGGCTGTTCAGCCTGGAGAAGAGAAGGCTCCGG